TAAAGCCTTTTATCGGGGCTGCAGCCTGGGGAGAAAACAGGCCTAGAACAGCCCTAGACACAGGAGTCCCCGGCCACGCCAGGGGCCTGCAACCACAGCCAGCAGATCCTACGAGGCCGGAGTCTCCACAGAGAATGACTCACGCAGGAGCTTTGCAAGCCGATAACCTCCCGGAGCAAAGGTGGGAGGCACGCGGTCAATGCAGCGAGGGCGATTTCGCACCCAGGGCACAGGGCGCCGTGTAGAGACTTTTTTGGGTTGTCACAGCTGGAGAAGGGGTGCCCGTGGGTCGAGAAAGGGGACCCCACTCAACATCCAAGCACGCACAGCACAGCCCCACGCAAAACCACTGCGCAACCGGGTATTCGACAGGGGTCAAGGTTTAGACACGCGCACCCAGTGGGCGTGACCGAGTCATTCCACGCGGCGTGGCAACCGACCGCACAAACCACAGGGACGTCCGAGGTCAAGACCTGGTCCTCAAGGTCCTTCTGCAGACTTGCCAGGGTTGTGGCCCGAGGGCACGCGTATAAAAACCCAGGCTGCAGCCCGCCTCCGCCTGCGCCTCCGCCTCCGCCTGCAGACCGGGATTGGAGCGGCCGTGCTGGGGCACGCCTTCCAGTTCCCAGGAGCGCACGGCTCGGAGGGTTACAACGAGCCCTCAGGGTCGGAACACCAGTGTGCTTCCCACACGGGGTCCAGCGCCTGCCCCGTCAGTGCTGTTAAACCGGAAGCGCGTGGTGCAGGACCTCGGGGCTAAAGGCTGTATTCATTAACCTCTAGAAAGCGGGGGAGGGGAGGAGGAAGAGAGGGAGAGGAACACCAAATCAGTTGCCTCTCACGCGCCCCAAGCAGGAGACCTGGCCCACAACCCAGGCATATGCCTGCCGCGGATTCGAACCTTCTTGTCTGCAGGGCCGACAGGCAACCAACCCACGGAGCCACACCAGCCAGGGCTAATCACAAACTTTTGCAAATGCACAGTATCTCAAGCCCCCGTCAGGTGGGTGGAAGGAGCACTCCATGCACCAAAAGGTCATGGGTTCAATTCGTAGTTGGGGCACATACCCAAGGTCATGGTCTGATCCCAGCTGGGCTGCCCACGAGAGACCACCAATCAATGTTTCTCTCTCATACCCCCCTCTCTCTTTCTGTCTCTCCCCCCTCCCCTCTGTCATGTCAATAAACATATCCGAGGCTGACAGTTTTTAAAAAATGCACAAAATCAATCAGAACAATCACTACCTCATGAACCCTGAAGATTTTTCTGGAGCTGCAGGGAAAGAAAAGATGAGAAGCTGGAATTAGCCTAAATTCCCGTGGTGCCCACAGTCTCCATCACAAACGTCCATTTCCATTCTCCACGCTGTTCCAAGTAGACACACTTTGCTTCATCCTTTTCTCCTAATGATACTGTTTATTACTGGCAGTTGCACTGTGAGCAAGTATCACTGATGACCAATCCACAAGAGACAGGTGTGTGAGTAACATGGACAATATACCATGCAGGGTGTGCGGGAAAACTCAGACAGAACTCCCGCACTGTTCTGAAACCCCTGCAGTAAGTAGACTGAGCCCCGGTCTGTGAACTGAAAGGTCACCGGTTCGGTTCCTGGTCCGGGCACGTGCCTGGGTTGGGGGCATGCAAGAGGCCACCAATTGGATGCATCTCTTGCACGTCAATGTTTCTCTCCCTCCCTTCCCCTCTCTAAAAATAAACAAAAGAAGCAACAGTCCTGTGTATTAAAACAACAAAAAAACAGCATTTGAAGGGAGAGACATTACGAGCATCAAGGAGAAGAATCAAACACATTTGATTCTGCGAAATCCTGAAGCACAATCCGGAAAAGCTGTGTACATATACCGCTACCAGCCTGGCCACAAAAACTTTCCAAAAAATACCTTAGCGACTCCTGTGGGAGCCGGCCCTCCGGCCAAATCAGGAGCAAACTGCCTCATATGCCCCCCTAGCCCCCCTCCAAAAGATCCCGGGGCTGTCCCACCTTCAGTTTCTAGAATGGGAGCCCACTAACAACACACTGGGTTTTTTAGAACTTGGGGTACCTGTTACCAGGTGGGTACTAGGCTTATCGGGGTGAGCTACTTGTAAGTTATATAAATGTATAACCACTAACTTGTACACCTGGAACAGATGTAGCACTGAATGTCAGTTGTAATTAAAAAACCAATAGACAGCCCTGGCTGGCATAGCTCAGTGGATTGAGCTCGGGCTGCGAACCAAAGTGTCGCAGGTTCGATTCCCAGTCAGGGCACAGGCCTGGGTTGCAGGTCACGGCCCCCAGCAACTGCACATGGATGTTTCTCTCTCTCTCGTTCTCCCTCCCTTCCCTCTCTAAAAATAAATAAATAAAATCTTTTTAAAAACCTAATGGACTATTAGGCAAAAGAGATTTCTTTAAGATTTTATATATTTATTTTTAGAGAGAGGCGAAGGGAAGGATAAAGACAGGGAGAGAAACATCCATGTGTGGTCATCTCTCATGCGCCCACTACTGAGGACCAGGCCAGCAACCCAGGCCTGTGCCCTGACTGGGAATCGAACACTTTGGTTTGCAGGCTGGTGTTCAATCCACTGAGCCTCGCCAGCCAGGGCACAAAATTTTTTTTTTTAAAAGAGGCGGGCCCTGTCCAGCGTGGCTCGGTTGGTTGGCGGTCGCCCTGCAAAGCGAACGGTCACCAGTTTGATTCCCAGTCAGGCAGGGCACGTGCCAGGGTTACGGGTGGTCCCTGCTTCCCAGCACCGCTGGGGGGCATGTCTTGTCCGCTTTGGAGCACATCAGAGAAACCACCCACCCATAGTTTCTCTCTCACATTGGTATGCTCCTCCCTCGCTTTTCTCTCCCTTCCCCCTCTGTAAGAATCAATAAAATCTGTTTTTAAAAAAAGAACTCAGGGTACGTATATAAACAAAGAGGTGCTCTGGGGTCCCTTTACCCAATTTCTGGTAAAACAACTGATTTCCTTTTTAGAGAGAAAGAAACATCACTCTGTTGCTCCGCTGACTAATGCATTCATTGGTCAGTCCTTGTGTGCGCCCTGGCCGGGGATCAAACCCACGACTCTGGTTTACAGGGACAACACTCTCCTCCACAGAGCCACCCGGCCAGGGCTAAAACAACTCCATTGTAACGTGATTTCCAGCTTCGTCACACTGTGTAAGGCCAAAACGCAAGGCCTCCCCTTACATCATGTTTTACAACGTATTCCACCGGCTTACCGAGGCAAGTATGAAAAGGATGCACGGTGAAGCAAAAGTAGGTTTACAGTCGTGAGCACAGAAAACAGACTTCATTGGATTAATATTTATTATTATTACTTTTTAAAATATTTTATTTTTAGAGAGAGGAAGAGAAGGAGAAAGGGAGAGAAACATCAATGTGCGGTTGACCCTCGTGCGCCCCCTACTGGGGACCTGGCCTGCAACCCAGGCATGTGCCCTGACTGGGAATCAAACCGGAGACCCTCTAGTTTGCAGTCCAGTGCTCAATCCACTGAGCCCCACCAGGCAATGCCTATATTTATTAATTATGGCATTATTTTCCATACAAAACAACTGCAAACCTCCTTTTACAATGAATGGTGTGTGTATCCTTTAAAAAGTGACATGAAGTACTAAAAGTCCGAGTCCTTTACCCAACATGTTTTGAACTTGTACCATGAGACACGCGCTGGAAAACCTGTATTGAAAAGGCACAGGACACAGACGCCCGAACGCACCAACGTGCGGGGAAAGCGCCCTTGCTGGACACTCCAGTGACCGCCCACCCTCTTTCCAAAGAACCCAGCTCGACGCGACGCCAGGGCCCACCCACCCAGTCCTCCCCTCACCATCGCTACTTCTGTAAATAGAAGGAAAAAAAAAAAACGAGGGAAAAGACAGAGGAGCAAGGTTTGGCGTCACAGCCTCTGCTTTCTGAATGACAAAAGCCACCCACACTTCCCCAAGTCATCTCCGCAGGGGGTGGGTCCGGAGTCGCCAGATTTCTTCCTGCGGCGGCCCGAGCAGGAAAGCAGAGAAAACCGGTAGGTCACCTTCAAACGCTTCCCGTGGCCAAGACTTGTTTCCATTTTAAAGGGACCTTTGTCCCCAGCAAGGATCCGGCCCAACCCTTCCCCAAAGGAACGGACCAATCCACACTTTCCCAGCAGAAGTGAACCCGGACGGGGGAGATGGGTTCTTGTTGGTGAGTTTTCACAGGAAAGGTACACGGGTTCCGCCGGCCCATGTCAAGGGCGGACCTTTCTGTCTCCAGACCAGAAAACTCAGGTCTAAAAGAGCCCCCTCTCATCCCCACCTTTGCAAAACCACACATTCCCGGCGAGGCACAGGGAGGCATTTATTTCTCCTCTCGGTGGAGTTCGAGCCGCACCTTGACAAAGGCGGCCGAAAAGTTCTCTGCGCGCCGGCGCGGGTCTCCAGACAGCCGCGGAACCGCGAGCCGAAAGTCAGTAAATATTGATGGGCTGATGGCAATCGAGACGCCGCGCTGGCGGCACCAGCTGCTGCTCGGCGTTTCGCGGGGCTAAGGGTGCAGGTCCGAGGGGTGCAGGGCGCAGGGGCCCACACAGGGAAACACCGGCGGGCCGGCTCTCTCCTCCCCCCGGGCAGCCCCACAGGTGCGCGCCGGGGCGGCCGCCGCCGCCGGCGAGACCGCCAGTGACCAGAGACCCTGCGGGGCCCCTTCCCGGAGGGGGAGGGGAGGGGACCCGGAACAGAAGCCATTTAAACTCTCCGCGGCGCCGGGAGCCAGCGGGGCTGGAAGCCGCCACAGAGCGGCGGGAGGGGCGCCCGGACCACACACCTAAGCGGGCCCCGGAGCCCCGCTCCCCACGGCTGATCGGAGCACACGCGCGCCCTGGAGCCGGGGGCGGGGGGGTGGGGCGCGATCGCGCCGCTCACTCCGCTGCCCCCACCCGCTCCGAGCCCCCCCCCCGCCCGCCTGCGGGCTGTCACCATGCAGGTCTCGCGGTCGCCTCACCTTGGTGATGACCAGCGGCTCGCCGTGCTCGCGGCCGCCTTTCAGGGTGAAGCCCCACGGGGCGCCGCCGTTCAGCTGCACCTCCACCAGGCGCCCGCCGTCGGCCGTCCGCGCCTCGGCCTCCGCCAGGCGCTCGGGCCGTGCGCGGGGCTCGGGGCCCTCCATGGCGCGGGGCGCGCGGGCTGCGCGGCTCCTCAGCCCCCCGGGCGCCCCCGGCCCGCGCCCATGCACTCGGGGACCCCCGCCTGGCCGTGGGCGAGGAGGCTCCGCGCGCCCTCCCTGCCGCCAGCCACAGGCGAACTTGCGCTGCAACTTGAGAGGAAAGTGCCGGCCGGGCCGGGAGGGAGCCGGGATGACTGGCAGCGGGAGGGCGGGCCCGGAGGGGGCGGGCCGGAGGGGCGGGGCGCGCGCCACGGGGCGGAGGGCCTGCGCGCGGGGGGCTCGCGCCGCTCCGCGGGCAGGGGGTGGGGCTCACTCTGGCCCGGCGAGGTGCCGGCTGGGGGAGCAGGGCGGGGAGGGGCTCCAGGGCGCGCGATCGGGGGCCCCCCTGGTACCCGGAGTGGGAAGGGGGCCCGCTCAGGGCGCGCGCTGCTCGCCAGGGCCGGGGTCGCGCGCTCGGAACCGGGGGGCCGGGGGTCTGGGATCCGTGGCGCGAGGCACCGCCTCTGCGGCGCAAGCACCGCCCCCGGAGGCTGAGGGCGCGTCAGCCCGCCTCCCGGGAGACCGGGGCGCGGCAGGTGAGTCGGCGGAAGCGCCCGCGCGAGGCAGACCTGGCAGCGGCCGGAGACCCCGGCGCCTCCATCTTGGAGCGCGCTGCCCGCCCTGCGCTGTCGCCTTTGTTGGCGCGGACCGCGGGCCGCATGCGGCCGCGCAGGTGAGGCCGGAAGCGGACGGGAGCGGCGCGCTGCTGGCCTGTCCCGCGCGCACGCACGCACCTGGCCCCCCGCGAGCGCCCACGCTGCCCCGACCCGCGGAAAGGGGCGATCCCCGCAGCCGGTACGCCAGCGCTGCACCTCTCCGCAGGAGGGGTCTTTCCACAAACACCCTCCTACGGCGCCCGGCCCAGATGAGGAGTGGCCTCTAGTCGGCCTTTCCCGTAGTTAGATCCCAGAAAAGTTGGTCCGTCCAAACTCTGTTCTCACTGTGGTGGAATTCTGTCGCCTGGACTTGGTGACCCACGGCGGCACCCGCTACGAAGGCGAGGTGCTGGTCTGGTACGACCGAGTGTTTGCGGATGGAACGCGTGCCACCTAGTCCCCCACTCCTCTCCGGTTTCCGCGAACGTCTGGACTGTGAAGAACCATCTGCCTTGCAAACCACGCGTTTGTCTTGTCGTTTGCACTTAGGTAGCTGCGCGCTGACACACACCCGTTTCCTCCGAGCAGCTCCATCCGGAGACTGTGAGCAGGTGACGACGCTGGGTGTAGGTGGCAAGGACCGCACGGGACGCCCTGGACAGAGGGTGAGGGGCCCGCGTCCTTGCCTGGGTTCTGCCCGGTAGAGCCAGGGCGAGCAGGATGAGCTCGGGTCTCTTTCTTCAGCGGCCAAGTGGCGACGGGTCTACACTCTGTGGTCCCCACTGCGCATCCAGGCAACTGAAACGAGGACGCAGACCTACGGACCAGGCGCCTGCGGTGGCTGCGCAGTGCTTGCTGCCCCGTGAATCCCTTCCAGCCTGCAGGATCCTGAATGCCTGCAGTTACGGGAATGATGAGATTACTTTTTTTTTTCCTGTTTAAGCGTAGCCTTAAGGAGGGTGTACCCCCCGGAAGAATCCATCTCGAGTGTACCTTGGCTGTGGTGGCCACACGAATCCACACAGACTGATGACATTGCACAGAACTAAACAAACGCAGTCACATACAGGAGCGCATGTAAACGGCAAATCTGAATAAACTCGGCGCATTGTTTCATTGTATCAATGTTAATGCATTGCGCCCTGGCTGGCGTAGCTCAGTGGATTGAGGGAGGGCTGCGAACCAAAGCATCGCAGGTTCGATTCCCAGCCAGGGCACATGCTTGGGTTGCAGGCCACGGCCCTCAGCAACTGCACATGGATGTTTCTCTCTCTCTCTCTCTCTCCCTCCCTCTCTAAAAAATAAATAAATAAAATCTTTTTTTAAAAAGTTAATGCATTGCTCTGTAATTTGGCAAGATGTTACCATTGGGAGAGGCAGGGGGCAAAGGATGCCCCTGTATTATCTGTTACATCTCACCCGTGAACCTGTGATAATCGCCAAATAAAAAGTTTCCTTTCCAAAGTGGATGCCTATGATCAGCCAATTGATCGAGGACCCTATACACACACCTAGGGTTTTCGGAAGTCCCCTGGTCCCCACCTGAAAGAGCCACCTGTTTCCACCCACCCCAGAGGTGGTGTGGACTTTAATCCCAGTTCTCACCCAGGGCTGAAATGCAGGCCACTGGGTCCCATAAAGCAGGGACGCCAATTTCACTGGTCCCGGTCCATCGCAGCCAAAGTCGTCTTTAACATTTTACGTTCATTGTGTAATCACGATCAGACACTCAGATTACCTGTCACGTGAAAGGGTTGTCTTGTTCATTTCTCAAACTGTGGTGCAAACATACATTCATCTGTGATACCACTTTGCTGAGCTCTTTTTTTTTTTTTTTAGGTTTTATTGATTTATTTTTAGACAGGGGGAGAAGAAGGAGAAAGAAATGGAGGGAAACATCGATGTCTGGGAGATACATTGATCAGTTGTCTCTCCCACGTGCCCAACTGGGGACCTGGCCTGCAGCCCAGGCATGTGCGCTGACTGGGAATCGAACCAGCGACCTTTCGATGCGCAGGCCAGCACTCAATCCACTGAGCCACACCAGCTGGAGCTGAGCTTGCTCTTTTTTTTCTTTTCCCTTTCACATGAAGTATCACTCTCCACTTTGCATCATTTAAATATTGATAAGGCTGCAGTCTGTATACTAATAAACATGCTAAAAGGGAGTGGCCCACATCCTGGGCGGCCTGCTGCCTGGTCGATGCCCACCGGTCAGACCCGCACCAGCCTTTCCTTGACGCCTGGAAGTGCACAGCCGACCAAACACCTGGGCCACCCTCACACCGAGACATCTGCGTCCTGTCCCTTACTGACACCATCAAAAAGAGCCCGTCGAACACCTTGTGAAAATCTCAACATCTGCTGACTGCAAGGCCTCCCCCCAGTGAATCAACCTGGGACCCTGCTGGAAGAGTGTCACGTGCCATGGGACCAGGGTGGGCTTCCGGAGGTGACGGCTTTCTTTTTGAAGAACTCGCCATGTAGCCACAGCTCCCGAGACCAGGACGTTCGCCGGCATCCAGCTTCTGTTCTTTGGGGAAGCCGGAGGGCACGCCGCTTGTGCGGAGCTTCTCACTCCTGGCACGCTCAGCGTTACTGCCCAGAGAACCGGACGGCGGTGGGCACGTCGTCTTCTGCACGGGCACAGCGGCACCCTGCCGCCCCCCACTGCTAGGCATTCTGGAGCCTCGGGGGTGCGCTCGTCAAATCCTAGGCTTCTATCCGTTGCCAGGAAGGTAGGAGAAATTGGGGTGGGCGGGCAGTGGTGGTAGGAGAAAAGGGAGGGAGACAACTGTAACTGAACAACAATAAAGAAATGTACTTTAAATTTTTTTAAAAAGGTAGGAGAAATTGAAGTGAGTGATGCTTTCACTTTATCAACAGCAAATGAATGAACCAGCAAATGCAAGGCATGCGGAAGCTCCTATCAGAGATCTCCTCCATACACACGGCTCCTCCTGTTTATAAAACACACGTCAGGTCTGTTTTCTGTTGGGCCAAGAAGAACATGTGTCATTATAAAACAGTGGACGATGCCGGGCGTAAATTTCACTTTCACCTTTCACACCAGTGGCTCCGTGAGCAGGGTCTAGCCTTCCAGCACACCTTTCATGGCGGTATTTTTTAAATTTTATTTATTTTTTAGAGAGGGAAGGGAAGGAGAAAGAGAGAGAGAGAAACATCCATGTGCGGTTGCTGGGGGCTGTGGCCTGCAACCCAGGCACGTGCCCTGACTGGGAATCGAACCTGCGACGCTTTGGTTCGCAGCCCGCACTCAATCCACTGAGCTACACCAGCCAGGGCTATCATGGTGGTATTTTTTAAAAAATATTTTATATATTTATTTTTACAGAGACGGGGAGGGAGGGAGAGAAACATCCGAGTGTGGTTGCCTCTCCCGCCCCCTACTGGTGACCGGGCCCACAACCCAGGCATGTGCCCTGACTGGGAATTGAACCGGCCACCCTTTGGTTTGCAGACGGGCACTCTATCCAATGAGCCACCCCAGCCAGGGCTCATGGTGGTAGTTTTGTAAAAGGCAAGTGGAGCCATTTCCTGTTGGACCCACAGTGACCCTGAGTGAGGGTCCTTATGCATTCAGAACTCACAGGTGTGATAGCAGGTAAGGGACCACTGACCAAATGACCAGGCCCTCCGCCACCAAGATGTCGGTCATCTTGATTTCTAGAGGCTCTTACTGGAAACATTGCAATTCCACTTCGAGGCAGACCTGGGCCCCGGGATGAAAGCTGGATGCCCCACGGCCCCGCCCACCACCTCCCCTCCCTAAGGGTTGCCCCCTGGGTGTCGGCAGTTGGAACACTGACAGACCTGTAGGGGGCAGACCTCCTCCTGGGCAGGGCAGTGAGGGGCAGACACCCTGGGTCTCCACCTGTGCTGCCCCCCTTACCTCGTGTGTGGAGTTCGCATCCCAGGGCCCCGTGCTCGGCTGAGGGAGAAGGCACCCCAGCCGCCGCTAGGAAATAATCCTCCTCGTTATCTCTGGCGCTCTTTCTCAGGGCGTGCCCCACCCTCTGCCCCGAGGGATTGCGCGGCTGGCCTGCGGTCACGGGCCATTCCCCTGAAGCACGCATGCGCTTCCCCTGCTGTCACTATTGTGCTGTCCGCGTCTCCCTTTATGTCCACCAACGGAGGGCAGTTTTCCCCGAGCGAGTGGGTGGACCTTCCTCGGTGAGGAGTGTAGACATTTGGCCACGTTGGGGGAGGCTCCCTTCAGCTGCAAACACCCACTTACGGGGGGGAGGCCGAAACCTCCTCGTGGGCAAGCTTTGCCCATAGAACCCGGTGCCCCTCTAGCGGTGTTTCAGCTCCAATTCTGCTATTTTTAGGCATGCTCTTTATTTTGTTTTTAATCTCTTTTAGTACCTCAACGTGATGATTTGTTCTTTTTTAAATATTTTATTGATTTATTTTTAGAGAGAGGGAGGGGAAGGAAAGGAGAGAAAGAGAAACATCAGTGTGTGGTTGCCTCTCATGTGCCCCTCACTGGGGACCTGGCACGCATCCCAGGC